TTTAAAAAGAAAACAAAACAGACACTTATGTAGAAAATTATACTCTTAAGTTACTTTAATCAAGACAATTTTTTTTTCGAATATTAAATATTACAAACTACTTCAGCAGTACTATTTTACGCCTAAAGGAATGCATAATTCCTTTAAACTGTTTAAAATACTGAAATTATCAGCGCAAAAAAAAAAAAAAATCTTTTTAAGTTGTTTGCCTTGTGTATTTTTTCCCCGAATTAAACATTTAATCAATAAAGTTCATTTATGTGTTTTGCATTTTTATAGGGTTATTTCTTTTATAAAGAAATATAGATGGGGGGCGGCAGAAAAAAGGATAAAGATAATAGCAAAGCAGTTTTTTTATGATCTTCCAAGGAAAAAGTTTCGCTTTTATAAGGTAAACAACACTGATTTGCTCCAGCGTTTTGGCGCTTCATCTTTATGCTTTTATTGTAATAGCCTGAATGCGAATATTTATCACGATTATAAAGTTTGCCCGAAAAGAAACCCGGGTAAAATACGGAAGGAAAAGAAAAATTTGTTTATCGTGGCTCCGCGATCACCTTTACAGCAAACAATCATCTTTTACCACTTTTAATGTACTCCCCCCACCCCCACATCCATTCTTTCTCTCTAACTCATTTTAATGGGGGAACCTGCTCTAAGGTTTGAGCATTAAAGGTTTTCTGAAATATACGACACGATACGAAAACCTTAAAAACTGACAAAAAGCCTGTAGGTTATGAGTCTATGAGTATGGTGTGGGCTCGGCTTCAGGCTATTTTATGCAGTTTCATGGCAAGAAAAGGGGTTCGCGGGGGTTGCAGGGAAATTTTTTATTCCATCCTTAGCAAACTTTAAACTGTCTGCAGTGTCCAATTTAAAAAGTTCTAAGTGGAACATTAAATTGTTCTTAACTGCTCATAATCTTTGTTAGATAAGAAAATTAAAATTGCGTTTCTTTTCTTTTTTGGAAAAGGAACATTCTTTCTAAATGGAATTTTACTTTTTGTTCTTTTTTTTTAAATATATCTGAATAGTTGAAGAGAACTTTTATTGTATACTTCACTCCTTTATAGCCTTTATGTTTCTTTAGTATTTTGATTAATTTTAAGAGCACTTTAAAAAAAAATATATCTGAAATGCAATAACATTATTTTTTTCTCTCCAGAAATACCAGACACTTTTTGAATGCATTTATATTTGGTTTAATATTAGTGAATTTTAAAGTTAACATATTGCAGCACAATATTACTCACATCGTAAAAATGAATCGTTGTTAAATTTGATTACACGATATATAATACCGCTTTGAACGGAAACTTGCTTCAAATTAACATCCAGCAAATTAACCTTTGTTCCTCAGTGTTGTGACAGCCGAAACTTAGGACCTGGCCTTCTTCAGATTTTGATACAGATAACCCATTATTAGCCATTATTACCTATTATTAGTCGTTCTCTCTAGTTAATTCTAATGGTTTAGAAAGCCGATTGGTTTGGCTATGAACACCTTTTTTGATATTCTTAGTGTTGATTAGATATCCAGCTCATCTTCACCTTTGGATGTCAATAAAAATATCTACATCTTGATTTTTGCTTGTTGTGTATAATTCTTTATCGGTTAATGTTATAGACATTCTGATTAATACAACACTTATTGAGGTTATAAAACACGCGCAAATTGATATTATGGTTCAACGCTGTACTGTGTTTTAAGTGAGTGTAGTTTTGGATCAAATGCTTGAAATTTTAGATTATAAAAATTTGTTTTGCAAAACTTTCAAAGCGTTAACTAATTATTAAATTTTGAAAAAAAGAGAAAAAGTAATTATGTTTTGGTTTTTGCGTGTTGTTTATAATTCTTTATTGGTTAATGTTTAGATATTCTAATTAGTACAACACATATTAAGGTTATAAAACATTCGCGAATTGATATTATGGTTCAATGCTGTACCGTGTTTTAAATGAGTGTAGTTTCGGATCAAATGCTGAACATTTTAGATAATATAAAATTTGTTTCTTACAAACTTCAAAGCGTTACCTAATTATTACATTTTGAAAACATAGAAACTCATTGTGTCAATTGCTTACAATATTGCTTAAAATATTGATTGAAATTTTCGATACAGTTGAACCTCAATATCTTACAAATGTTTATGAATTTAAAAATTTTTCTAAGTAACGCTTTGAAAAATTGATCGCCTTACGCAAATTGATCTTTCCTCAGATTGATTACACTATAATTTAGTTGAACCTGAATGTAGACCTCATTTTAACCTTGATTTAACACCTTATTTTAATCTCATTTTATGGCTTTATTAAAAACAAAACAATACTTTACAGCATTAGGATTTAAATAACCAATATTATAACTCAGTTATGAACTGATTTTTATGAAAGCCTATAATAACGGCACTAAATAATGATAAAGGAGATAAAATTTCCCCCTTTTTAAATTTCGACCATACATGGATTATAATTAATATAAATATAAGTAAAAAAATATTGGAGCCAAGAAAATTTTCAAAAAATCTTCTAAAAATTCCGTTTGTGGCGTATAAAATGCTTTATTTCATAGCAATAATTTATCTGTTATTGAACTAAATTATGGTGGAACTTATTTATAATGAGCCCAGAATCAAGCAAATTTTCAAAAAATCTTCTGAAATTTATTTTATGACGTATAAAATGCTTTATTTCATAGCAATAATTTATCTGTTATTGAACTAAATTATAGTTGAACTAATTTATAATGAGCTCAGAATCAAAGCATGTAAATTTATAAACATAAATTAAAAAGATATTTAACAACAACATTATAAACAATCCCATTTCGACGAGGTAAGTTTACTTGTATAAAAATAGTTGCTTTGAAACTACATATAGGTAATTCGTAATGCATATAAAGAGTAAATAAAACATTTAAAAAAATTACCTTACTATAAAACATATGTCTTAAAACTTTTTAAAACCTTCGTAAATAAAAACTTTTTTTAAAATTCTATTTAGAGCTTATTTCCATTATTCTGTATCCATAAATACTCAATAGAGTTTAGGTGCAAAGAAATACATTTTACTTGAATTAATAACACAAACCTTATAAAAATAACGAATGTTTGACTTAAAAACAAGACAAGACCAAATAACATAGCTTAATTTTCACTATATAGTAATATACTATATAGCAATACTATATAATAATATTTATCATATAATACATAGAAAAAATTCTCCTTATTTAAAAAAAAATTTTACAGATGTCGTCATTGCTGTTTCAGTAAATTTTTCAACCAAGCGTACTTCTCACTGTCGCAACCCAGAAACTATTTAATTAAAATATGCATATTTCTAGAGAAATATTTAAAAAATATTGCGATATCAGAATTTTTTGTGCCACGTAATTCAGTTTAGCAATCCCAGAGAATTATTGATGCAAAGAAAAGAATTACCGTCATTCGGGGCTACTTTGTGCAGGATTTCGCAGTTTTTGAACTTTGANCATTTTTAACGTGAAATAAATATAATACTGAATAGCAGCACTTGAAAAATGCCAAATTCGAATTTGCACAAAGTAGCCCCCGCTGCACAAAGAATGACGGAACCGCAAAAAATAAAATAATTTTTTGCTGCCATATACTCTTATAAACAATCTTTTAATATTTTGTAAAATTTTTTAATTAGTTTCAGACTTATTAAATTTGAAAATGAGTACGTTTCTACAAAAGTTTAACAAACAAAAGTTTTTTCCCCTCTCTTAGGTAGAACCAAAGCCAAATATTCTCTTCGACCCTTATCCTACATTATACCATGTTGTAATATCACATGTTGTTCACACGTTGTACCAGCGATAAGCTAAAGGTTAAATAATAGGAGCTCAACGTTAATATTTATATAACCTAATATCAAGTGTTCTTATAACACAACTTCAACTAGATTTAAGGAAAAAGAGATGGCAAAGAGAGAACTCAGATAGCAAAGTAATCTGAAAACAATTCGGACAAAAAAAATAAAGAGCTTTCTAATAATATTAAATAGAAAAAATTCATACCTGATGAAAGAATACCGTTTCGAACTGCTTTTGTTTTCTCAAATATCTCATTATCTGTTCTGTGAAATAGTCTGAATGGCCATTATTATTAATTTAAATCAAAGTTTGCAAGGTTTAGGACAGAATGGATTAATCAACCTTCCTGTTCAAAACCCCTTTCCCCAAAACTGTCTTAAACTGTCCGAAACCCTTTTATTAAAATTGTCACAATTTTAAAAAAAATATTGTGAAAAATAAAAGTTTACTATTTGAACAGGAAACAAAATGAAGACAAGTTTTTATTTCATTAAAGAAGTTCATTATTATTTTTTAAAATTGCATTATTTATTCTTTTGCAAAAATATAATTTATCAGTATTTCAAAGCATATTTATTCATATTTAAGGGATAAGGTATTCATTTCTGTTGTTCAATGAATTGTGGAGCTTCAAAAGTTGTAAATCTTTTCCGATTGTATTATTTTCCCTCATAAAGTTAAAGCAAATAGTATAAAAAATGTAAAATATTTATTAATATATGTAATTTTGTGTACAATGGTTACACCTTTAAGAATTTTTACCTTTTACTTAAGTTCAAGGGTTTGGACACTTTAAGACAGTTTAGGACAGTTTTAGTCAGTTTTGGATAGTTTAAGACAGTAAAACCCACGTGTCCTGTCCAAAATCAATTTAGGACGTCTAAAACCCCAACCCTATAAATTCAAAAAATCTTTAACAGCTTTATATTTGTGAAATTCTGACTACTTTTACTGAGTTCAGGTACTCAACGGGTTAATGGCAACGAGTTCGAGGGAGAGTTAATTGTCACGAGGTGAACGCGTAATTTACATTTCGAACAAATATTCAGCGTTTTTGAGAAAAGGATGCAAAATTAACTGTGTACAAGACGCGTTAATTAGCAATCATATGTTAAACAACACTATCATATTTTGTTAAAATGTAACATTAACTTTTTTTTAGGTAATAGAAACTTTCATATTGGATTCAAATCTTTATAAAAGGAAAAAAAACTTGAATAAAGAAAATTGAAATAAAAGATCTGATTGACTGTCTGACGATGAAGGAAAATATGCAATTATGTGAGTTTTTTTAATTCATAAATAGTCTACTCTTATTTTGCATGTTTTTTATAACACTAACTTCGTAGTGTTAGTACTACACTGGCTTGCAATTGAAAAAACAATGTAAGCGCTTCACGATAGATTTCGTGAAGAGTGGTTCGACAATTTTTATCTTTCCATTGCTAATGAAGAAATAGAGTTTCATAAAATTGATGAAAATAAATTTTTAATTGCAAAACTTTTTTTGCGATATATGTAGCTTATCATACATAGATGCCAAATATATAAAAATCTCAATTTGAATTATTTTTGCTTATGATAATTTTTCAATTGCACTGCAGTACAACGTTATAACGTATATTTTATTACGTTAAAACTACCTCTTAAAATCAAAAAACTTTTTCGTTATCTTCTTACGCTATAACAAATATGCATTTGTTAATCTTAGAAAAAAATATGATTCCGATCATTGAAATATGAATGAATATTTAAATATGCAGGTAGAATTACGAATTTTACAGTAAAATTTGGTTTTCAGGAAGTACTTTCTTTTTGGAAATTTTAGACGATTAAAATGAGACAAAGACCTCTTGTTATGTTTAAGAAATCTGCACCAAACTTTTATTTGTTGTTTCTTGTTTTCATGAAATTCAGTTCTAAAATAACTTCTGAACAGTAATTGAAACATTAAAGAGCAACAGTTTATTATTAAGATTCAAAATTATTACAATTTGTTTTTGTTCAAACGTTTTTAAAAACTGTTTTTAGGAAATACTTAATTTTTTGAGGTTAAATTAAGACAGCAGTAAGCAAAAATATTGTTGCTATAATTAATTTGAATTAGTTTATTTTAAGAAATGAGTTTAAAAAACTAAAGTTTTCATAAAAATTATTTTCTTTAGATAGACAATAGCTCTTCCTGGAGTTTTTTTTTTACATTCATTCTATATGAGTTCATATAATTAAGAATATTAGAAATATTTATTTACCTATGACTTATTTACTTTTCTTTAAAAATCGATCGTTAATTTGATTTGACAAATATTTGATCGTTAATTATATTGGAACAAATATTTTAAATTTAATCAAAATATTGAATGAGGAAAAAATAACCTTACACATTATTTTTTTAAATTTGAGACTTTATCTGTTTTAAAAATTCAATGTCGTAAATTTTCAATTAGAAGACGAAAGTATTTAAAGGTAATTGAAATTGATACTTACATTTCTATTTCAAGTATTTTTTTGTTTCTTATATGGAGAATGTTCCATTTTAAATAAAAAGTAAAAATCTTTTATGCTTTAAAAAAAAAGAGAAACTTGCATTAAAAATTTCTTTTTTGATGGTTGAGAATTAAATTTAGATGCACATTAGATTAGGCTAAAAAATGAGACTTTGAGAGTAAAAAAAAGCAACAACAAAAAAATATCGAGCAACTATATATTTATAAAAAAATAAAGAAAAACACACTGCTTACCTATATTTTTGTTTTTTTATCCATAATTTAATTTATGCTTGCTAATTAAACGTAACTAAATTAAAAGTTATTTAATGATAATTTAGTTTAACTATGATTACAATTTATAAGTCATAAAAATAATTTCAAGCAACTAATTTTTTTAACTACTTTGTAATAAAAAGAATGTTGCAATTAAAATTACTGTTATGAATTACTCAAGATTTTCTTTACATGAAAGTTTTAATATCCAAATCATGTAAAGTCAGGCAAGTTTCTTCAATAGTGAAAAAAACAATGGAAAAAAAAAGACCTGAAAGAAATAATTCTTTTCAAACCCAATGAAATGGAAGAAACTCTTCTTCAGAAATAAATATTAAGTCAATTGTTTAATCGGTTTATAATTGCAATCTAGTTAAAATAATGACATTAATTTTAAAACTAATTAATCTATCACTTTGAAATAAGCAAAAACTATAAAGAAACAACTTAAATAAATTTTCAATGAAAATAAAAATACTTTTACAGATAATTAAATTAAATAAAATAATTCAAGACCTTATGGAAAAACCCTTACTTGTTTTAGACTTTTTGAAGATGAACAAACTCATGGACCTTGTCTAGCTAGGCTAGAAATGGGGATTTGAAAGAAGAGGAACTAAATTTAGTTAATAAAAATAAATTTAACAAATTCCTTGAGAAATTAAAATAACTGTAATTTTGTAATATTTTACGTAAATAAGTATAGTGAAGCCTAAGTTTATAATATAATATGGAGAACTGTTGAAACAGCGTAAACAAAATTTTATTAATGCTACCAAATTAGCAATAAACTACNCTAGGCTAGAAATGGGGATTTGAAAGAGGAACTAAATTTAGTTAATAAAAATAAATTTAGCAAATTTCTTGAGAAATTAAAATAACTGTAATTTTGTAATATTTTACGTAAATAAGTATAGTGAAGCCTAAGTTTATAATATAATATGGAGAACTGTTGAAACAGCGTAAACAAAATTTTATTAATACTACCAAATTAGCAATAAACTACTAAAAATAGACATTAAATTCGCAATTATTAAATATCATACTAATTTTTTTATCAAATCAAACAGTGTTGAACATGATATGATCTTTAGTCTTGCTTTTCTTATTTTTTCTTCTTTCTTTTGAAGTAGGCATAAGAAACTTGACATTCTGGTTCTATAATAAATTTATTTTGTTTAAATTATGCTATTCTTATAACAATTCTAAGCTTAGTATTAGTCTTTTTCAGTTTCTTCCCCTTCCTCCAATTTCCTTTATTTTGTCAAATTTCTGCCGTTTTATTTCAGTTACTTTCAAAAAACCAACCCCTTACCAGTTACTTTCAAAAACCAACCATTACAAAATGCCAATCCTGATTTTAGTAAATATTAATAAAACATCGCAATATACTGAGTTTTAAAGTGCTCACAATCTGAAAAAGATTAAAGGTTATTTTCCATTTTTTTAAAAATTAAAATTTATTAATGGTTATTATGGCTATTATGTTTATTATGGCTTTATTAATGGTTAAAAAATTTTAACTATGTTTTTAATTAATACCCGAAGTTAGAATGAAATAATTCTTATAGAATGAATATTCTTAAGAGCCACTCTTATGAAACTGTTCTCAATGGAACAAGGGAAATTAATATTAAGAGCGAAAAAGTTAAAACAGCTTTCCTACCATAACTATTAAAAACCAAAATCCATAATTTCTAGACTGCGGCTTTTCCCTACATTCAGCAGATTAATATTTCAAATCCTTCAAAAAAATACGTTTATTCGAAGAGAGTATGTTTTGCGTCTGATTTAGTAACTGACAATATTGTTTGTACAATTTAATTACTACATGAAATGTAATCTTTTGAATCATCGAGATTATATCGTGAAACGTAAAAATTCAATCATTAAATAAAATATTTGTAACGTGATCTCCAATTTTTTTTCTGTGCTCTGTACAGATTATCTAATGGCATTTATATTTGACTTCATGAATAACAGGAAAAAAAAACTTTTTCATTACAAAAAGACACGAAAAAATTTAAAAACGTAATAAAATAAGCAGAAAAAGAAATGGAGGAAATGTGTAAAATAATAGAAAAAGTTTATGATGAATTATATGTTTTAAACAAAATGACTTGCTTCAAGTAGTACACTCGCAGAAAAATTATCTTCAAGTTTTGATTTTTTCATTAAAAAGTACCTAAAAACATATATTTTTAAACTTTTTAAAAAAATACATTTACATGATTTTTTAATGATAGGATTTCCAAAAACCATACGAGTTTTTGAAAATATCATTCAAAAAATCGTTTATATATGGGTCATTCTCACGAAAACTCATTTTTCAGTTCATAAAATCCCAAAAAAGTAAAGTGAATAAAAAGCTCTGAAACTTTTTATATTAATAGAAATATGTAATGGCATTATAAAGAAAGTATATATCCTATAAATTATACTTAATATTTAAATTAATTAATTTTTTAAATAATTAATTTATAATTAATTAATTTATAATAATAATTAATTAATTAATTAATTTAATAAATAAATTAATTAATTTAATAAATTAATTTATTAATTTTTTAATTTATTTTTCAAATTAATTAATAAGTAAATTAATTATTTTCACTATTTAAAAAGTGAGGGAATGACACTAATAGTGAGGGAATGATATTTTATTTTAATACATGTTTTTATCTAAGTTACATCTACCTAAAGTTTGAAAATGATAACATACTAAGTATATCTAATATTTATTATAATTTAGTCTTATATATTTAATAGTTTTTACAGGTTTGGGAAATAAAATTGGCTGGCACGATTGAACAAAAAAAAATTTAATAATATACTCATCTTGAATCATTCCCTCACTTCAGCGTCATTCCCTCACTTTATACACTAGTGAGGGAATGACGAATTCAATAAAATTTAAAAATAACAGTTAGGCCTAATTAATTTCTGAAGTCAATCACATACAATTATATTCATACAAGAAAGCAACATATAATTATCCACTTTCTCGATGAAGTTGTATTTTATTTTACTCTAAAAAATGACATGAGGGAATGACAAATGTAAAAAATTTTACCTGGTTTGATTCATTCAAATTTATTCCACAGCAAAGCTTCTTTAAGTTGAAGATGGAAACATACTGCAATTTTGTTCTATGATGCCAGTTGTTAACTTCTGAAGTTTTTATTAAAATATTTTTATTCTAAGAAGATTGCAGGTGATAAGAACATTGTTGTGAGGGAATGACGCGAAACACTGGGGACAAAGTTTAAAATAGTGCTGTGTTAATATTTTTATCAGAAATTAAATTTAAAATTGATTTTCTGAATTCTATATTTCAGTATTCTGAAATAAAAAACACGAATTTGTAAATTTTTTTATTTTTATTTCAGAAATAATTTTTTCTTTTTTTAAATCAATAGTGGGGGCAAGTGAGGGAATGACATATTGGTATATTTTAATTACCTAAAATAAATTAATTTTATTTTTATTCTTTTGTTAGCTTGCATTCTGAAGGACACT